ACTGCACTACGACACCTGTCCCTTGAAAAAGCACAGAGCTCACAAGAGCATGTGACACAAGGCCCATCTCTTTAAAAGTGAAGCAAAAACCAGAGAAAAACATCCCCCTCTGTAATTCCTGAAACAAGGTATTCTGGTCAGGCTGAACACTTGAGCACAAGTTCAAGAGAGTGTGAGCCATCCCCCCAACCAGATTGTGGTAAAAGGGAACAGTCACATGAATGCGATCTGTGCTCAGGCTCAGACTCTAATTATATGGGAAAAGAGTGTGGTGTGACAGCTATGGCAGGGATTGCGGTTATGTCCTACGAGACTGCAGTTGACCCTATGGAGAAGGAGGGAAAGTGAGAAAACAAAGGGATGACATGAGGACACTAGAGAAGAGCAGAGATACTGCAGAGCAGAGAAAAGGAGAGGAGCCTACTTGTACAAAGATGTAAAGAACAAAAAAAAAAGGATAACAAAAGTGTGTGTGCATATATGTGCAATAACAGGGTGTCCTTTATTGGTGCTGAGTAAGGCCAGAGGCTTACAGCAAGGATTTAAAGAGCCAAGGCAACACAACAAAGCACCAGAGGAACGGGGTTGCCCAGCAGGGGCCAGGGGAGGGGGGGGAGGCAGGGGGGGCTGATCAGGATCCATTTCCAGCCTGGGCCTTGGAATTCTTTTGTTCCTGTCACAGGTCTCCCTTTCCACCTCGCCTTAATCTCAGCCTGCCTCACACCCAGTAACACAGAGCAGGGCAGGTAACTTTGTCAGAGGCATGCCTCTGTATTTAAAGACCAGTCCCCACATAAAAGCCAATCACATAAATAGTAATAACTGCAGTAGCACTGAGAAGAAACAACATGGGTGAATACATGTTGTCACTACAAAAATACCTATGTCTTCAGAGAGGAGTAGTGAGGTGTCACAGTGGAAGGCTGAACGGTCAGTATGCAGTGATTCTCCCTAAAATGGACCTCCAACACATGTAATACTTTGTGTTTGTGCATCTTGTACAAAGAAAGTTTCAATCGCGTTTTGACTGAAGAGTCTTTCCAAATATGATAAACTGATTTAGCAATGGGCTGTAGGCCTTCAAAGAGCCAGAGAAGCCAGACAAAGCTAAACCTATCATAGGGCAGGGCAAAAAGTAACACTCTTTTAGTCACTACACTTCCTCCACATTCTTCATTGCGAGGGAGATGGTCATTTGTAAACACATTCTCCAACAGTAAAGCTATCCAGCAATGCTTTTCTCACAATGGCCGTGGCCAGGCTGCCTTAAGCCCTCTTCATAGGGCTGCCAAAAAGAGTCAGTGGTACACTGTGCAGCAATCGCAAAGCCCTCTCCCACGGCTATTAGTGACCATTCATCTGGGGAGCCTGGGAAAATGCCTCTCCAGCCTGCCGTGGCCATGGGGAAACAGGCTGGCAGGTGTTCCCTCCCCCCAAGTCCTGGCACCTGTGCAGGGAGAGGAAGAAGGAACCAGTTCTGGCATGGCCCAGACTGGACTCAAGGTACTACTTTGCCAGAGCTCCAACTCCTCTGGCTGGGATGGAAATGCTCAAACACTGGGTTGAACAGTGCCCAAGCTCTGCCTCACATGGAGAGATCAATGTGGCCATTTCAATACTAACGGTAGACTTAGGACATCTGGTAATGTACTTTGGCAGTTTGAAATGGCATGCTAACTAAATCTTTGTAAAATGGGCCTTCTCAGTTTACACTGCACACAAATATACACACCATTATGCACTTGAAAATGAATACTGCTTTGAGTTAAAACAATAGGAGCAAATGATAACATGCAGTCAGCACTGAGAGTAAACAAAACAACCTGAAGCAATAAGTAAAAGTATATTATAATATCTGACGAACAATATCTTGGGCACTATGTACATCATTTTGTGTTGTCCAAGAGTGTCCAGCACTGACGTGACATAAACAGTAGCATGTTCATGATCACTGTGTCATTCTTTTTGTCACAGAGCGCAACCACGTGCTTCCTTAGGCATATCGAATGGCAAAAATGTATTCTTCAAAGCACAGAGAACCTATTATCCACTGATTTTCAATCTCTAATTACTCTGAGAAATGTGGGTGTGTTCAGCATGGTCTACCAGGGAGAATGCAAGCGGCCTCTCCCAAGCTCCCTTTAACTGGGCTTCTAAAGTCTAACATGTCCATTCTGCTTGTCCAGAGCCAAAATGTTCGGTGGGAAAAGTTCCCTCTGTTCATCTCTCTGAAAACATAAATAAATCACATCACTATGAGCTAATCATGAAGTCTCAAGCAGCC